GCATGTGAAGAAGTGTTGACATCAAGACCAGTTGTTGCAAAGATCTTAAGGTCGTTGGCTCCAAAGTTCGACCATGTGGTAGTAGCCATAGAAGATTCAAAAGACTTGTCAACATTGACGAAGGAAGAGCTTCAACGAACGTTTGAGTCTTATAAACAAAGGAAGGCTGAGAGAGCTGCAGGAAAGTTGAAGAGTGATATGCCTTTACAGGCGTAGTTAGAAAAGGAAAGGAAAGGCAAAGGAAGCTGAAATGAAAACAAAGGTAGAGGAGACTACAATAATTCGACTAGTCGAAATCAGCAGAAAGGAAATTGGTCGAATAATAGAAAATCCTGGAACCAAAGAAAGCAAAGAGGTGGTGCTGCAGGTAAAGGAAGAGGTGGTGGACGAAAGTCTGACAAAAGTCACATTCAGTGTTTTAATTGTCAGAAGTATGGTCACTATTTTAGTGAATGTCGAGAAAAGAAGAAGAATCAAAGCATTAATTCAAAGATGGCGAAGCATGAAAAAGAAGAGACGTTGTTAATGGTCAAAACAAAAGACGAAGAGAGATTCTAAGACCAGTGGTACTTGGACTCAGGATGCTCATCACACATGACTGGAAACAAATATTGGTTTTTCAACATGAAGCCCTCGTCGAAGAACATGGTGAAATTTGCAAATGACAATACTCTAGCAGCTGAAGGTATTGGCGATTTGATTATGAGAAAACATGGCAAGAGGTCAACAATTTTCAATGTGTTGTACATATCAGGCATAAAGAGTAATTTGCTTAGTATAGAGCAACTAGTCAAAAAGAACTACAAGGTGTCGATTGAAGGCAAGATGATGAGATTTCTTGAGACAGGTGGTAGGTTGATCTTGAAGGCTCCAGTGTCTCAGAATATGACCTTCAAGATTAAACTCAATGTGATGGAGCACAAGTGCCTAGCAACTGCAGCCAACAGAGATGAATGGTTATGTCATTTTCAACTAGGCCATCTCAACTTCAATGACATCAAAGAGTTAAAGAGAATAAATATAGATTCAAGATAACCTGAAATTAACATTCCAAATGAACTCTGTGAAGAGTGTGTTCAGTCAAAACAACACAAGAATAACTTCAACAAGGATGCAAAAAGGAAGTCAAAGGAAATTCTGGAAGTCATATGCTCTGATGTGTGTGGTCCAATCTAGGTGACTCGGTTGCAGGCAACACTACTTTGTCATGTTCATAGATTATTACAGTCGAAAGGTGTGGACTTACCTCATCAAGAAGAAAAGTGATGTGATTGAGGTATTTTTCAGATTCAAGTCTATGGTCGAAAGATATAATGGTCGAAAGCTGAAAATTTTGAGGACTGATGGTGGTAGAGAGTATGTGTCAAAAGCATTCGACACATTATGTGAAAAATAAGAGATTGTGCATGAGATGGTGCCACCTGCACTCTACAACAAACTGGAATTGCAGAAAGAAAAAACAGAATCATCATGAACATGATGAAAAGCGTTGAATTGAAAACATCTACCCAAAAAATTATGGGGAGAAGCAATTTTGACAGCAACATACATATCAAACAGATGACCGACGAAGAAGCTTGAAGGAATTACACTAGAAAAATGTCGGTTTGGTGTCAAGCCTAGCCTCATTTGCTTGAATGTGTTTGGATCTATAACACATAGACATGTGTCAGACCAGTTGAGAAGGAATTTGATGACAAGTCAAATCAAATGATCTTGATAGCATATCATTCAAATGAAGGTTATAAGTTGTTCGACCTAGTGAATAAGCAGGTAGTGATCAGCAGGGACGTGATCATAGACAAGCTTAAAGAATGAGATTGGACTGAGAATGTCAAGAAGGATTCAGTGAGAATCTCTTGTGAAGAATCGGTCACTGAAGTCGAAAGAGAAGTTCGATAGGAACAAGTTAGAGATGAAGCTGGCTCAAGCAGACCTCGACGAACAAGACACATGCCAAGGTTTCAAAAATATGTAATTATATCAGATGATATGGTCGATGAAGAAGTGAGCCGGTACATTATGCTTTCTACGCAGATGTCTAACCAGTCAATGCAGCTGAGACATTGAAAGATTCGAAGTGGGTAAAAGCAATGAATGAGGAGTTAGACTACATCAAAGTCAACAACACCTGGTCACTTGTCGAATTGTCCCAATGTAAGAAGACATTTGATGTGAAGTAGGTTTACAAGGTGAATGTAAATCTTAAAGGAAAAGTAACTTGACGCAAGACAAGACTTGTGGCAAATGAGTTTCTTCAAAAGGAAGGAATCGACTTCGACGAAATTTTACACCTATTGCTAAGATTGAAACAATCAGATTAATTGTTAGTCTAGCAAATATGAGCAATTGGCACACATGTCAGATGGACGTGAAATGTGCATTCTTTAATGTCCCCTTAGACGAAGAAGTTTATGTTGCACAACCAGCTGGATTTGTGAAACGAGATGAAGAAAGAAAGGTGTACATGCTGCATAAAGCCTTGTATGGACTTAAGCAAGCTCCAAGAACTTGGAATAACAAAATCGACAACTTCTTAAAGAAGAAGGAGTTTGTGAAGTGTACAACCGAGTATGGAGTATACGTAAGAAGAAGCAGTAGTGAACTATTTATATTATGCCTCTATGTCAATGACCTGTTAATAACAGGAAGTTGCAAGAAGGAGATCGAAGACTTCAAACATAACTTGAGTGAGGAGTTTGAAATGTCAGACTTGAGAGATCTCTCATTTCCTTGACATCAAATTTTATAAGAGTAGTAGAGATTTGTGATGCACCAAAAAAGATATGTAGGCGAAATACTCAAAATATTTGAGATGCAAGATTGCAACCCAACTTCGACTCCAACTGAGATCAGATTGTAATTGTCGAAGGATTCAGTTGAAGGTGGTGTTGACCCAACTCAATATAGAAGAGTCTTTGAATCACTTCGATACCATTGTCATACAAGACCTGACTTAACATACAGTGTAGGTATGATAAGTAGATTCATGTAAAGTCAAAGGTATCACATCTAGCAGCGGCGAAGAGGATACAGAGGTATCTGAAAGGGATACATCAACTCTAATTGGTATAGTGATGTTGAGGATAGAAAATCTACAGCTGACTCTGTGTTTATGTTAGGTGGTGCACCAGTTGTTTGGAGTTCGAGAAAGGAGCCAGTAGTGGCATTGTCATCATGCGAAGCAAAATATATAAGTGCTTTTCTTTATGCATGTCAAACAACCTGGATGGTGAACTTGGTCGAAGAGATCACATCGAAGTCATGGAACAATTACCATGAAGATTGACAGCATGTCAGCTATCAACTTGACGAAGAATCTAATAGCACATGAACAAAACAAACACGTCAAAATGAGGTTCCATAATCTTCGAGAGCATGTAACAGAAAGAAAAATGAATTTAAAACACTGCAGAACTGAGAATCAGATTGCAGACATCATGACGAAGAGAGTGTCAGTCGAAGTGTTTAGAAGGCTAAGGTCTATGATGAATGTAGATAGCTTAGACACAATGAATAAGGTGGTGTGTTGAATTTGTAATTTCTTATGTCGAAACAGTGTAGCTCAACAGAAATACAAATTAGTCAAATTAGTCTAACGTATTAGTGTGTCGAGTTGCTTAGTGTGTCAAAGTGTCGAAGCAAGTTGCTTCACACAGAATTTCGACTTAAATCTATTTTAATAATGTTAGCTATCTTGAGTTTTTATAATTTTAAGCTTTGACTTGAAATGCAAACAAACCTAAATTTATAAATAGGAAGAACCCTTATTTTATAAAAAAAACTTATCATATTTTGTAATTCAAAATTTGCAGTTGCAGGCAGAAAAATTGTTTATCTTCTTCTTCTCTAATATTTCCTTTTTTTTTTCTTTCTAAACTTTATATATGGGTTAAAACAATCTTAAGATTAAAATTAATCGTGTGAAATTCTTTATAACTTAGTTAGTGATTGAATTTCCAACATTTTCTTTGTGACTCGTTGGCTTTCAACCATGGGCTTAGAAGATTATATCATGGCTGGGGAGTGTGCCCCATTATATCACAGTAGAAACAAAACAATGGTAGTTTTTCACAATGGTAGTTTTTCATATCTGAAGTCAATCCATGTTATACCATTGTATTTACTCCCTAATTACATGTCAGGACTGATAGGAGTATTGATGTTGGGCAAGACCCTTGCCTTGACTATCAAGTTTCTGTCAGGCGATGTCATACAGGCCTTCTTTCGTAGTTTCACCTAATTTTTCCCCCCAGCTTCAAACCCATCTGGGTGGTTTTGATGTTTGTTGGGAGACCCCAAAATTACACCCAAATGGGGCCTTTGAAAATTCCAGTTGGTTGACAGCACTTTTGCCGTCCCATTCCTGCAAGATAAGCCAAGAATTCAGTCTGGGATTCCCCTTAAAGATCCTCTAGTGATCTTGTGATCTTCTGGTTTTTCCTATTATCTCATACTCAATTTCTTGAATTTGAAGGTTTTGTGGGTTGCACCACATGCCGTTTAGAGCAGTTTGAAGAGATCTTTTATGAATTGGTTTTTTTGTGATGATTTTACAAAGAAGAAATCAGGAGTTGTAGTAGTTTGGTTAGAGGGTTCCTTGGATAATGGTTTTGTGGTGTTGTTTCCATTATTGATAAGGAACGTTCTTTCAACATGTTCCGCGGTAGGATTCTGATTCCTAAACGTTTGTTATTTCTTCAGAGACCAAATGACAGAAAAACAAGAGAGTACGAAACGCCAAAAAGGATCACACGGTGGAAGAAGAGACTTAGAACACGGAAGAAGAAAGGATTATTTTTGTATTGAGAAACACATGATAATGGAGCACTGTTCTCACCTACGTTTACAAAACAAAGTAGCAGTAGTATTCACATAATATATACCAGAACAGTCCCATGATAATGGATCAATCCCAGACCTTAAGTTCCTATAACACCTTTTATTCATTTTATTACATCATTATTCACACACTAAAGTATCTCACAGTAGATTCTATTTCAACCCATCTTTGCTTCATCTTTATTTGCTGCATTCATTTTAGCACAGTACTCAAATAAGCTACCATCATAGCATCTTCTAACAGCTTCTTTAGCCAAAAACCCACCTTCATCCTTAGCAATATAATACAGAACCCCCCATTCCAATTTACCAGCAATCCTACAAACATTCATCATCATCATCCATATATGTCAGCTATATATTCATCATTTTAATCCATCATAATTTAACCAACACAAAAAAACTCAGATATTCACCAGCCAAATGGATCTAATGCATTTCTGTTTCCCTCAGTCATGTTCCAAATCTCTCCAAGTGTCAGCTTGTCAGGTTCAGTTTTAGCATACTTGCTAAATATGTTCTCAAGATTTGCTGGTACATAACTGCGTGCATGTTCATGAAATTCATAGAAAAAATATAGTTACATAAATTAATATATATGTTATAATAATTATTGTATTGAACTTTGACTCACTCACCGTCCTTCTGTGTCATATGCACCAGAGTCACTTCCATGTTTTGCTCTATGCATGTTGTGTATGTAAATAGGAAACAGAAGTGAAGGAAACCAGTGCTGCAAAAAAAATTACAACTCTTTGTAAAAGTTTTAACATTTGAAATGGATATTTTTTTAAGTTTGAATAAAACTCACAGGCTGAGTGGGATAACTCATTGAAAGATTGATGGTCATAGCCATAATAACTGATAGAATCACATTAAATCCAAGAGCACGAAACCCTGAAAATGTTTTAACGTGATCAAGAATTATTCATCTCTTTGGAACTTGAAACTAGACTCAGTTTAAACAATAAAACTGATCTTACTTACCCATGTAAGTTTCCCAAGGGTAAATGATTCCATTACCATCTTGATCAAAAAAAGCACAATGCTGTTGAAGAACAGTCATGTCGTTGTGCTTGTGGCCTGGTGTTCCATTTGGGTGACTTGTATCAGGAGCTGTCAATGCTCTAGGCATGTCTGAGAGAGAGTCAGATGCATTAGGTATAGATATAGATACAGATAGTTTGTTCTACACAAAACTGTATGAATAAAAGAACTGAAACTTACATGGCTTTGGAAGAGTGGTTTCCAAGTCGGTTCTAACCTTTCTCTGAGTAGTAACAGGTGCATTAGGAGCCTCAGTTGTCATTGATTCTCTCTCAATCTCCATAGCCATTTTGAGTGATATTTGTTTCTCTTTAACTAAGCTTGCTCACTCTGATATGATTGATATCTTCTCAATGTTTCTATATATATGCACCTAAGTTGCACTTGACGTTTTTTGTAGGGAAAACAAGCATACATATTAAAGGTGAGTGAGAGGCAGAAAGAAAAATAGATGGAGAAAGTAGAAAGAGCCAGCAATGATAGACATGTTACGTGTCGTACATGCAAGAGTTTGCTAGTTCGTGTTGTGTCAAGTTAGGAGGTGATACTTGTCCTCTGTGGATTTACCCGAGATATCGACATATGTCAAATATGGAATATTGCATATTTTAATCACTGTTTTCATATTTTGTTTTAAAAGATATTTGAATAATTATTATACAAAATATCTTTTATTATTAAATGTATAATTTAATATAATTGTCACTATCATAAAAATTTATATTATCACACACTTAAAAATAGATAAATAAGATAAAATAGATAAGTGAAACATCATAAGATATAATGTAAATGTCATGTGAAACACCATAAATATAGTGTATTTAAGTAAAATACAAAACACGGTAAGATACGATGCATTAAGTGAAAAGCAGTAGATTGTAAAATATGGTGTGTTTAGTGGGTTTGTTTAACTTGCAGCTCATACAAGCGGATCTATAAATATAATTCGTGTGATAAACTATTTGTTATTTGACCAAATTTGGTCTCTTGAAGCCCTAGCTTTTCTCTCTCTCTCTCAAAGTCTTCATTAATAGCAAATAGAAGTGAGATTGAATTCACTATTTCTTAAGAAAAACAAATGCATGGAGAAAAGAAGAACATAATAACAACACAAAAGTTTAACATGGAAACTCTAAAATCGGAGAAAAAACAACGACCGTTGTCAAATGACAACCAGAGAATAACATTGTAAAAATTGTTATAACACATGAACTACCTTTAATCACCCCAAGGCCCCAATACACCCACACTTTTTAAAGCAAATATTTAACTATATCTCATAATACTCTAACATAAGTGTAGAAGAAAAAATATAAAAAGTAAAATACAAGTTTAAAGTGTTTTTGATGGGTATTAAAAATCTGACAAAGAATCATAAAAAAATATTAAAAAGAAGGAGTAGTACAAAAAATATTTTTACAACTCAATGAATCGAAACAGAGTAAAGCTATCCATATATAGCCAATGAAGTAGGTGCTATATGCCAGCTAACCATGAGAAAAAGCCAATAAAAAAACAGAATAAGATTATAATTTAATATCCACCCTCAAACTATAATGTGTGTCAAGCAAGTCTAGTTTGCTAACAAGGTTTGAAAAAGGACCAAAGTGCAACGACTTCGTAAAAATGTTCACTGCTTGGCTTGCATAATCAATGGGCATCAAATGAACTGTGTTGTCTTGAATTTTGCTGCGAACTTCATGACAGTCGAGCTTGATATGTTTTGTTCTTTTATGGAATACAGGATTGGTGGCAATGTGCATAGCACTTCGGTTGTCGCATTAAATGGTGACTGGTTTGGTGAGATGAATGTTGAAATCATGAAGTATGAACTTGAGCCAAACAACTTCAAAAGTTGTGTCAGCAAGGGCCTTATATTCCGCTTCGGAAGATGAAAGGGAAATGGTATGCTGCTTTTTGCATTTCCATTAGATGAGAGAAGTATCCATGAAGAAGCAAAAGCTTGTAATGGATCTTCTAGTGACGGGACAAGCCCCCCAGTTTGAATCAGAAAACCCAATTAAAGTTAGATATGTCTTGTGCTTGAAAAATAGGTCAGGGGCTGGTGCATTCTAGACGTAATGCAGAATCTGTAAAGTAGTTTGCATATGGATGTCTAGTGGTGCGACAAGATGTTGACTGAGCCTGCAAACAAAAAACCTAATATCAAGGTGCAAGTGAGTTAAATAAATCAACTTACCAATAAGACTCTGGTACGGAGTAAGGTTGGACAAGAGAGGGGCATCAACATCATTTAAGTTATGAGAAGGATCCATAGGTGTTGAAGTTGGCTTAGCTGCAAGAAGGCTTGTTTCCTGCAAAAGATCAAGGTTGTATTTTCTTTGACACAAAGAAATACAATAACTGTAAATAAAGTTTGATATAATTAATCTCATCAAGGCAATTCCCCGCAAGAACTAATTTGTCAACATAAACCAAAATGACAGTAAATAAACTGCCATTTTTATTTGTAAAAAGAGAATAGTCAGCTTTTGATTGAGAATAACCTAACGATATGAAGGTGTTAGTAAGTTTCTGATTCCATTGTCGGCTAGCCTGCTTGAGGCTGTAAATGGATTTATTTAACTTATAAATAATATTTTTATCAGACATAGTCAGGCCTGGAGGAACTTTCATATTAACTTCTTCTTGCAAATCTCCGTGTAAAAAAGTTGTGTTCACACCAAGTTGGTGTAAGAACCAATTTTGACAAGAAACAATGGAAAGAAGGAGTCTTGTGGTGGTCATTTTGATAACCGGACTAAAAGTATCATGATAATTTAAACCCTCGGATTGGTTTAACCCTTTGGCCACAAGACAGACTGTGTACCTCTTAATGGTGCCATTGGCTTGGAATTTAAGTTTAAAAATTCATTTACAACCTATGTCCTGTGATTAAGAGATAAGTTATAATAACTAATGAAATGAGATATATGATATAGAATGTTACCTATATCAGAAGCAGATGGGAAATGTGTACCTTGAAGCATAACACATTGGAAATCTTGAAGGTAAGTAGGAGGTTTAGAAATTCTAGTGGATTTCCTAGTGGTTGAAGGAATAGGAGAAAGAGAAGCATTAAGTCAGCTAACTGAGGAGAATGATGATTGTTAGGTGTGGGATGTGTGTTTAGAGTTGAGGGAGGTTTCAGAGTTAGTAGTGGGAGCTAAGGAAGTGTTTTTAATGGGTGTAAAAGATAGGGAAATGTGATTGGGGTCCTTAATGTAAGAATGGAACTCAGTAGTATTAGTATGGAAGGGTGGAGGAGATTGTGTCTGGGCATTGTGGCTGGTGTTATAAGGGAAGATATGCTCATAAAAAATTGGGTCCCGAGATACCAAAATCTGCTTCTTGTCAATATCAAACAAGATGTGGGTTTTGGTGCCATGTTTGTTACCTAGATATATGCATTTTCTAGAACGATTATCAAATTTGGGTCTCTGTTTCTTAGAGCTAGTGGTATAAGCCAAGCATCCCAATATTTTCAAAGATCCATAGTCAGACATAATATCAAAAATGATAGTAAAAGGGGTGTTGCCGTGTTACATTGCAAAAGCCTTGAAGGTAAGCAGTTATTAATAAAAATTGCATGAGCCAAAAAAAAGGCAAATGGGATTGGAAAAGAAGAGCACGGGTGACACCTAAAAGGTGTTGGTGCTCTCTTTCTACAATACCATTTTGCTGAGGTGTATCCACACAAGAGGTTTGATGATTAATGTCGTGCGTTAAATAGAAATCCTTAAGAGTAAACTCAGGTCCATTATTAGACCTTAAGATTTTAACAGAGGTTTGAAATTGGTTTTTAACAAAAGCGATAATTTACTTCACCTGTTTAAAGAAGACATGTTTGTTGCTCAGATGTCCAAACCTTTCAAGAAATGCAAACATTAGGATATAAACACCAAATCTTCTTCAGCTGCTTGTGGTCGTGGTATTAAGATTTGCTCCTATTGTCAGAAATCAGACTCTGATACCATATTAATAATCTGACAAAGAATCAAAAAAGAAATTATTAAAAAGAAGGAGTAGTACACACAATATTTTTACAAATCAATGAATCCAAATAGAGTAAAGCTATCCATATATAGAAAATGAAATAACGGCTATATGCCAGCTAACCAAGAGAAACCAATAAAATAATAGAATAAGATTATAATTTAATAATGGGTACATCTTGTAACAAAGAACTTGAACTTTTTACATAGTCTTGCACTTCCTCTTCCTTTACAAAACTAAACCACTTGGAACTTCTTCAATATGTATATTTTCAACCAACTCCAATACTATATTTGTGTGCACTGTGTAGAGACGTTATTCTTTGTTTGGAGCTTATGATAGTTCTCTGGATTCTGCATCAATAGTTAATCGTTATAAGAGATAAAAAATTTATCACTAATCATATGCATTCGTAAGGATTAACTTAAAGTAAATTTTTGTTTTTTGTAGCATTTTATATTGCAATTTTCTTTTATTAGATAGTATCCAAGATGTGGAAATCTTGGAAGATCATAAGTATTAGGAGAAAGGATTCAATGTCAAGAATGTTACAAATTTAGTCATAATTCACTAAATTCTTCGCATATATTGTCGCTACCGTAAAAAAACCACCGGCGAAGACACAAAGTCATCATCGAACTTTATTTATTCCAACAGGGAAAGGAAAACATCGAGAAAACCTCATAAGGGAAAAGAACATGGTCTCGCAACCAAATTCGGGGTTCGGAAGTCGATTACGCAAGAGGAAGGTATTAGCACCCCTCGCATTTGTTGTACTCAACGGGATCCACTCTTGTTGTTCTAATCAAAGGGTGTGTATATCTAAAGCTTACTTGCTGAAGGGGGGCTAAACAAAAAGGGAGAAAAATCAAAAGGAGACTCAATAGGATCTCATAATCCTATGCCTATGGATTCCCTTATGTAATGGGAAACTCAGAGTCACCGTAGTTCAGAAGACTACAGGTGGAAAGGAAGGTTGATCGCCAAGGATTAGGGCCCTTGTGCCTATGTATCTTCATTCGGACGAGAACGAAGAAATCAGAGTGTTTGTAATTCGTGGGACCACGGGTTGCTTAGTGTTTTTATGGATAATGCTAACGTTCACGCTCTAGCATTTAGGTGTTTGTCGCTCGTTGTCTGGAGTCTTATGTGTTACCTGTTTGCGGTAGAACGGAAATAACACGCCCTTTCTGAAAAGGTTTGAAGGGAGAATCACGAAGGACAAAATGGTTTGCATTTGTTGAAGTGTTTTAAAGAAGTGATTTGAATCGGTTTGTGACGCGTATCGTG